AGTGCGCTGCTTATCAAATACCGATGACGATGCTGTTTTCTGGTGCCGAGCCAGCTAGAACCTCTTTGTCACACTATCCGACCAGAATTTTGCTGCTGAGGTCATTTCAGGTCAAGTTAGGTCAAGGTCAATTATATGTGTTTGTATGTCTGTGTGTGTCTGTGTGTATACTGATGTGTGCACCGATTGTATTTGGTTCCATATCACATGAAATCATGATCTGAGAAGCTTTTACCAAAAATGCAGTCAAAAAACTTAACAAAAAGTAAATTCAGCTTGCCTAAAACGCAATTATCTTAGATGACCTAGGTTGACCTTGACCCTGACCTTGACCCCTGTACATCGTCGAACAACATGTTCCATGATAGGTGGGAGGTAAGACTGGCAAAAAAGGCCGAAATCAGGGTGTCAAAAGCTCACAAGGCCCATGGCAAACGCAAGATGTTGAGAATTGGCCATTTGGGTCATGACATGACCTGAAAACAAGGTCATATCTCCGAAACCAAAAATCACAGAAACTTGAAATTTTCAGTGGACATCAAGAAAGGATAGACGAGCAGCTATACGAAAAATCAGCCTTCTAGCTCTAAAAATGTTGAGTGCAGAGCAGAAAGACTGCCTGGGGGGGTGGCAACCCCCCCCCCCCATGTGCGGGCGAGGGTTAAATCAGGACTGAAACTTCAATGGGGCAACGGCACTACATTTGGCCATTTGTCTCCGTTCTCTGTGATAATAGGTAATGCTGTCCCGTTTGCCGCAGTGCACGGCATGATAACGCTGTGGAGACGACAGATGCCAGGGCTCCCACCGCTAACCTGGCTCTGGGCAGGGTCGCTCTTCACAGCAGCTATGTCTTCTTGAATGGTACCGATACATGCCACCGTGCTGTTCTCTCTCTTGCTTTTCAATTAGACAGTCTTATTTAACTTAATGACTAATTGAGCTGTAAATGAAGCGGCCCAATTCAGTTTTGGATGCTGGTCCGGTGACTGTTCTTATTTGAACCGGCGAAATACACTGTCATTCCTATCTCGCTGGAATCACACCTCGACCTCTCACGTTTTCCATCTCACACCTCTGTTTCATCTGCCGTGCTGAAATACCTTCGTGTCGTTGCTGGCCGTTCGCGCCTGCCTTCTCACAACTCCCGTGTAAGCTTACCGTGGGTCGTGAGCGTCTCAGCCATAATGGTTTCGGCTCCTTTACTGCTGACACTGCCGGCTTCGCTCAGTTTCCCAGCGACAAAGACGTGGCGCGACCCCGCTCGTTCCATTTTCACATTTTGTCGAAAGGGCACAGTCTTGCCTCTGCTGCCGTTCCCTAAAGGTCACCGAGGTCGTGGGGTACTGCTCGCCTGAAATGCAAAATCATATATCTCGCTAATGAGCCCTTCACACTGGACAGGCTGGCACCAGAGTAATCTGCCGCCTGACAGGCCGCGGATTGAAATGGAGGCGTCGATGCTGGTTTATGTTTTTATGTCGGACTTGGCTGCGATGACCAGCTGGTGTGATCGAGTGATTTGAGGAGATTATGGCTGTCGGTAAAACTCGGCAGCTTTTGTCATTTTTCAGTCAACAAGCGTATTGTTTCGGATATTGGGATCCCGGAGGGCCTTGCATAATCTCAACTCTCGAGCTTTATTGTTTGTGATGAGTTTGGCAAACGTAGGCCTAGAGCTGATGTTGATCGGCTGCGGTGTTCCTTGAGACCGATCCTACCTTACATGAATCATGGAACATTAAAACCCAATATTCGAGAGCGGGCAAATATCATTTTTTACCATGTGACGGTGATCCCTTTAAAATGTCTAACAATGTTAACTGGAAGTGCAGCCTCTGCGTCGTCACTGCCTCCTTCTCCCTCCAAGGGTTCCGTCACGACCCGATGGTTGGGGGGGGGGGGGGGACGAAGGCCGTTTGAAGTCGATTCTTTCCATGCAACACCCATAGGCGTAATGTTAAAAATGTAAAATCCCTCCGTCCCCCGGTGGCGGAGCCCTTGTCTCCCTCCTTCATCTTTGTCTTTCCGAGACCTTACCCACCATGGGCGTAAGAACCTCACAAAAAGTGTGTGTGTGTGGGGGGGGGGGGGGGGGCAGCGAAACTTCAATGTCACTTTGTGAGAGCCCAATACCCTATGAAGAAATTCTTTGCAGTTTTGTGCTCATCTCACCTTGCTGAACCACTTCCTGCTCTTAGTTTTGTATTTAAATCAAAAATAAACATTTTACTAAAAATGGCTGAAAAGTGGGGGCATGGCCATCCCGCCTATCCCTGCGCCTATGTTACCCACGAACTAGGGATGGATCGGTGTGTGCGTGACATGACCCTAGACACTGTTCTTTGGGGAGGCGATCGACTTCGACCCGCCTTTGACCACGCCGTGGGCTCAATAGATCGTCCACCGGCACCGCGTCGTCGATCCTAATCGTTATTAGAGACGGAGGGGCGGTCGACCGGACCAGCATCAGGGCGGGAAGGCTCCCCTTGCTTTGATGGCATGGGGTCAAACAGGGGTCACTCCTTCCGCTGTGATGGACAGGGCCGGAGAAGGAACAGCTCCTTTTGCTTTGCAAATAGTTTCAGTAGCTCTCGATCTGTTGGGGCCCACGCCGAAGAACGAAAACTCCTCTGTTTCCACTGTGTTGCGTTGTTTGTGCTGACGACTACCTGGTTAGGCTTTCATTATGGGTTCTGGCTTTAGCACGGGAGAAACTGCAGACAACTGCTGACGTCTACCATCTGTTGCTTTAGTTTACCTGAGAGCATAATTCGACAATTACTGGAAACGGATATGGAAGGAGAGTGTCAATGTTTATATTCGTGGGTATGTGTTTGTTTATCTGTGTGGGAGAGGCAAGCGCTGGTTTCCAGTATCTACCCACCATCTCTTTTGATCATGTGTAAGGGAAGGGATAGTAGACGGGTCCGAGGATGTGCGAGTCATGACCAAAAGCGACCTGAGCGTCGAGGCGGAACTTTTCGCTAACAGGCGACTGGTTTAGAGGTCACGATTCAGTGGTGGAGTATCGGCCAGAAGAAGCGCTATATGGCTGCAGGTCCGTGCTTACATGCCGGCCTCAAACAAACTAGACTCAGGCACAAACAAACGGCGCTATACAAGCGGAACATGGGTGGCGAGGGCCTTCTGACGACGGGCGGGAGGGGACGCGGGGCGACCCTGGCTGCTACCTGTGCTTATCAGAGTCTTTATCCGTTGTCACCATTTTTCCTCAGATAGATTGACCCGATGACCGGCCAGAGAACCTTCGCCGGCCGTCATTGCTGTACGATGGCTGGTTTGAGAGCCCTGAGAACACATTCAGCCCTGAGATGACACCGAGAGCGGCTGTGGTGGCGGTGATAGCTTGGTCTGATTCCGAAAGACGCATTAATGGAGGAACGGCGATTTCGTCCTGCCTCCGTCCATACCCTCCATATGGAACCGGTACAACCACTGTGTCCTGTGTCCTCTGTATCCATTGTGTTCATTTTTGTAAGCATTGTGTCCACTGTGTCCCGGTGTCCAGTGTCCCTATGTCCTCTGTGTCCGCTGCTCCCCTGGCTGCTATGGTCCTCCCCTCTCGTTCCATAATATCGATGAAGATGAGATGGGATCAGCCGCGGAATGGACGACGCTCCCGGGATTGCCTGTCGGTGTTGGTATATTGTTGACCTTAGTTATTGCTGCGGCTCCTGGAATATCGCCCTATGTGGAGGGCGTTGTGGAAAATTTCATTTACAGGCATAACCTGTCGCGGCTTTCGAACATGTATTAGTTCCATGGAATGGAATGGAGCTTCTGGTTTATATATGTCGCCTCATATATAAAATGAATGGCCTGCAATTTTGAAACGAGATATTGGACATGGTATCTCCAAGGTCCACCTCGTGAACACGTGGTATCTCCAAATTCGTCTCGTAATGAAAACAGAGATTACGCTTCACATGTTATGCCCGAAGTGAAGCTTCATATTCGTACAAAAACACCCTCCAAACCATTCGAATAATTACATGTGCCATCTTGTGTTTCCCTCCGGTATTTGTGGTGGTACCGCACAGCTCGGCGCGTGCGATAATTGACCGATACGGTCCGTCCGTGCCGTCCGATTCCCGATATGGCCGCGGGCTCCGACCTCCCGTTGATTCCCATCGGGCATTGATGGGCCGCTCGCCGCCGACGGGTATTGGTCTGACAGGCGATGGCTGGTGTCTGGCGCTGGGTGGCGTCGGAGGTCCGTTATGGTTTCGGATTTTCAGTGATGGTGTCTAAGGTCTGTGTATTTGAGGTCTGTGATGGTTTTTGAGGGTCGTGGTTTTGTGTGCGGTTTGTGATGATGTGTGATGCTTGTGGTAATGTGTGAGGGTTGTGATGGTTTCGGACTTTCTGTTATTGTTTCGAAGGTCTGAGATGCTTGAGGTCTCCAATGACTCATATTGACTAAGGCCGTCATGCTTGTGGTGTCCGTGTTGGTATCTGCTGTGGCTCCTTGGGCTGTGTCATGCCGCACACACGGTGTGTTGCCGGACGACCCCAGTCCTGGCTCAGCTGGGTCGCGGTCGGCCTGACATCAGCGCGGCGGCCGGTCGCGGCTGGGACAATAGCCGACTAAGCTGTCTCCATTACGGGGCTCGGACGGCCGGGCAGCTCCGACGGGGCTGGCGATCCCACAGACAGACTTACTGGGCTCGGCGGTCGGGTAGCTCCGCCCGGGGCTGGCGATCCCACAGACGGACGGACATTTGCGGCGAGGTCATATCTCACTGACATTGACTGATCCCACGGACTGATATCTGGTTTCGCTGAATCTGACTGATCCGACTGAAGACGCAAATAGTCCCGGAACGGCACAGTCTCGCTGGGACTGATTGGAAATGCAGACACACATATCTTAGCAGACATTTCCGACATGACTGCGTCTCTCTGAATACATCAGTGCAGCGCCGTCTGTGTCATATCGCTCCCATGTGTAATTGTGTGGCTTTCTTTGCCGACAGGCGACACATCAAGGAGGCTCTGAACCAGCAGACGCGGGCTCAGTTTCGGGCCTACGCCGAACAACAGTACCCGGGCAGCCCTGATCAGGTGAGACGGCTGCTAAAAAGAAACTTCCTCGCGAAAGTTGTCCTCTCGAAGAATGTGAACTATCCTAATATTGGCCACATTCCTCCGTGTTGCGCCAGCTCCGTGCTTAATTTGGAATACGGCAGTGCATAACTGCATTACTGTGTCCAACCAGTCGGGTCGCGCCCTACGAATTCCCAGTCCGTGGCTTGGCTGAGGGCAGGGTCGGGCGAAGAGCTAGTAGTGTGGATGTGTGTCAGGTGTAGTCTATTCACACGACAGTCGATGACGGGTCGACACTGTCCTGTCCTTCCTGTCCTATTTTGTCATGTTCACCGTCTAGGTGTCCAGCTGTCCTGTTCTCTCCTGTGGCTGACCGATCCCCTCCTTATGTGGTGGTGGCCACCATCCTGTCCCTTTCTGCCCTGCGGCTGACCACCCTCCCCCGTCCCGCATTCATTAGCCTCCGGAGTGCCTCGCTGCGGTATACCGCGTGGGCCGTGTGTTGTGGAGACGGTGCGCCGAACAGCCGGATCCTGGCTAGACTGAATACTCAGCTGAATAACCGACTGAATGCCCGTCTGGGCAGCGGTCAGCGGCTCAGCGGTCAGCGGCTCAGCGGTCAGCCCTCGCTGAGGGATGGCCCCCCGCCGCGCCGGCGGCTCTGGTTTATTAAGCGGACATGATACCCAGTAATTGAACGTCGGCGATCGGTCCGCTCCTCCAGTATCGACCCATGTCAGGACCCAATCTTGTATGATAATGTGCGGCTTCTTCGGTAAAGGTTACCGCCGCGACTGGCCGGATGTGTTGTGACAGTGCAGCGCGTTGTTCGTGCGGGAAGGGGGGTCACACTGTCAGCTCAGAAAGAGGACACCTGACACCTTTCCGCTCAGCGGCTGGAAGAGAACCTGCTAAGTGTTTGCGCGTCCTGTCTGTAGCCGGTTTTTCAACTGACTGCGTGTATGTTTGTGTGTCGGCAGCAAGCGGTGCTGATCGAGCAGCTTCAGGAGCAGCACTATCAGCAGTACATGCAACAGCTGTACCAGCAGCAGCTCCAGCAGCAGCAACAGCAGCAGCAGCGACCGGCGCCGGTGGAGACCAGTGGAGGCGGGGCGGCCGAACCCCAGTCGGTTGGGGCGTCCGAACAAGCCGCAGAGCCGGCCGCGTCCGCTGTGCCAGCCGCGCCGGCTAGCTCACAGGGCGACGCTGCCGGGACGGGGACAGGTATGAACCTATGAGAGAGGGGAGGGAAAGTTAGAGGGAGAGGGAGAGCGATAGGCTATCCTTAGCTCATCTCCACATAGTGGGTCAGGCGGTGCGCTTTGTGGTCTGATGAGTGATCGGTGGAGGCTAAGGGACGACTTCTGCAGATGCTAAATCCGGCTGGTCACTGTATGACCCTCGCATTCTGACTGAGAGTGATGTACCCTATTATTGGCTGGAAGTGCCGCTTGCAGGGGAGTTTGTTTACAGTACGGCTACAGAACTACAGATGACCTCCCGGCGTAACCCGTGCCCTGACCTTGCTCTTACCTCTATCCCGCCGTAGCCGTGTTCTGACCACAATCACTACTGTGACTCGTGCCCTAACCTCTCCTGTCATATCCCGTGTCATGACCTCTTTCCCTAAGTTGACCGTGCCCCCCTCTCCCCCATCAGGAGCCGCAGTGCCTCCCCCAGTGAGTGCCGCCATGGCCGCCGTCCAGACCCCGGAGACGGAGGCTCTGCTGGAGTCGGGAGCCGACAGGTCACTCCGGGAGACGGACGGACTGCTAGCAGAGTCGGCGGGCGAGGAGTCCGACTCCGGAGACGGTGAGTCATGAGGGAGTTAGGACTGTCAGGAGGTTTGGGGTATCGAGTAAATAGGGGCACTGTGGGTCTCGAGGGGTGGAGTGGATTGGTCGGTGGCACATCGAGAGTCGGTCTCTGGCAACAGTGGGCTACAAACAGGGTTCTAGGCTGGGAGTTGCTGTGAGTAAGATCCCAGAGATCGCAAATCGAACTCCTGGGACGGTGATTCATAAACTATGGATGTGACTTCTAAGTCGGTTCACATTTGTATTGTTGATGTAACACCGACGTCTCGCTAGTTTCCACTGACATCTAACCCGTTCCACCCGGTTATGTTCTCTGCAGAGCATGTTCCGGACGTCGGCTCTGCCAGTATGTGGACGCGCAAGGACCTTGCCGAGTTCAAACAGGCCATCAAAGCCGAGGGAGGTGACGCAGTACTCAAAGTTGGTCACGGAGAGACGGTCACGGTACGTGAGGGGGACGGATGGGACTCGGTGGGACGGTGGTGGGACGGATGGGACGGTGGTGGGGTTTGGGTGGGACGGTGGTGGGGCTTGGGGGCGGGACGGGAATGAGTCTCGGTGGGACTCTGTGGGATGGGCGAGGCTGACTTGGTTTTGTGAAGTGCTCTGTGATACGTATGGAGAAATGGCACGCTGGCAAATGCAGGATATGACATCCATTCGTCGTATTTCGGCGTTTTTACTGCCTCTGCGCCAGACTGGCAGCCCGACGCCGAAGGGCTCTAACGGGACCTTGTTAAGAACGGATCGCGTGATTACTGCCTTAATCGGAACCCATTAGCGTGTTTAATTAAGTTTATGACGGGAGAGTTTATTGCGTTTCCAGGCGCTTAGCTGCCTACAAACTAGTTGCGATACCTACTTGTTTTTTCACTGTTTGAACCCTTTAGTATGTCAACTCTAGCTGAAGTTTTTATGTTTTTCTTCTACCTTTACGACTAGTCTGACTCAAAAATGTAAATAAATCAAAGTTTTTGAAGTAAACGTCACATACTGAACTCACTGACTGATTGTCGAAGAGAGGAAGGCTTGTTACGGAGCGAGCGAAGCGAGCGTAGTCTTTCCTTAGATTAACGGAAATTTCTGAGTATGAGCGGCCGGCCGGCCGGCCGTGGTCACGCTTTTGCGAGGCTTATATCTCAGCAACCACTTGACCGATTTACACGCGGTAATTTTTGTAGGGTAGCTTCATTCCTTCTACCAAGTATTGGACTATTCCCGATGCATGTGGGTGACCCCTTATGCACGTGCCACGTGCAAAACGAAGAGGTGTCACTTTTGTAATTGTTGCAATATCTCGGTAACTACTGGGCCGATTGCGCTGAAAGTTGGCATGTAGGTAGGCACTCACTAGGCAATGCACAGTGTGGCCAAATTGGCAATGTTGTGGGGAAATCCTCCCCTAATGAAAAGGATAATGACATCCTAAAAATTGGGAAAAAGACATCCTCACGACTTTTTCACTTAAATATATCATACTGTTCTGCAAGCATCAATGTGTTTGGCAACTTCTTGCTAGGTCATAAAATACCTCTGTCTCAATGAGCGCCAATTTGAATATAGGCATATACAATGTTAAGCAATATTCATATTCTTATGTTCTGGCAATATTGATATAAAATATAGGTCGAGGTATGTATGCAGCAACTGCAAGACGTATGGAAGAAGACAAATGCAAGACCGAGACAGCATGGCATTAGCAGTTGAAATCAGCATGCATTGCTGATGCTGCATGGGTGATGTGATTGTGACAAAATAAAAACTGCATTATATTCCAGTGTCTTGACTTTTGGAGCTGAGTTTGTACCTACCAAACAACATGCACAGGTTTGGTAAGGAAATCACAAATTGAATTGTACAAACAACTAGGCTATTTCAATTTCAATTTCAAGCTCACCCAGCGCAGATACAGCATATAGCCTTGGACCAGACTCGGATTAATATACAATAGTTATCAATTGATCGCAAAGAATAAAAGCAAAACTAAGCTCAAACACAACCACTGAAAATCAGGATAAGCGCAAACCCCTCGGACACAACACCAATGCATCCACAGCGTCCACAACACAAGCAGTCGTTCGAGATTCAAGGCCATCAAAGACACAATAATCCCCTGTTGACTCTTCATACATCATGCACCACCGCCCTGGCGTGCTTTGTTCAGCCTGTGACGTCACCGGTGGCCAAAAAGGAAGTCGTTATCGGGAAGTCATAATCCCGAAGGAAGTCGTTATTTTCCCCCTAACAACCCCTAACTTATAATGACGACAGCACCGCTAATTGACCAAACCAAGACGAGAAAATGAGATAATACGAAAGAAAATGAAATAATACATTGCATACGCGGTCATTTTCTTGGAAAATTTGCGAAATGCTTGTTTTTGAGCCCAGTAAACTTCCGTCATTTTCATGCGAAAAATCCGCTGATTTTGCGGAAAAAATGGCTTCTGAAGAAATGAAATTGTTAATTCCCAGGCTCATTTTACGAGCTAAATGTTATACAAAGTGAAAGAAAATTGATGAATTATGCCCACCTATGCATCAAAACTGATATTAAGCCCACAATACTCTATTTTGACATGTTCAAATATAATGACATCCTTCGCCTGTTTTGGCGAAATTCTACCCCTAACAACCCCTAACTTCAACTCTTCGCCAAACTGTGAAAAACCATTTTTGTGATTTGGTATTCACATATATCATGCTCCATCGATTTCCCTACAATATTATCATCATTTTACCGGCTGTATTGTCTTAATTTTCACGTTTGGCTGGCTTTCGTGAGCCGCTGTTTTAGGGATGTCGGAAGTTTTTCTGCCGAAAATCTCTGAAATCGTGTGACGTAATACGGAGGCCGCGAAGTTCGACAGGTGCGTCGAGATTGATAATCTTGTACAATATTTTGTAGACGAGGAAAACCGAAACATTTGCTCCATACAAACGATTCGAGAAATTAAATTGAATAGACAAGCAGTGTTGTGTTGTGGCCTTGTTGCCTTATTTCAATTTCAGTATTTGATAGAAGCGTAATAGAACTGATAGCAATACTTGCAAGCTATTAGTCAATAAGGTACAGGGACCTAAGACCTTGATCCTGGAAAGATCTCAATTAAAGTTGGGATGATGTTGGTCTATGCATGCACGTTTGTTATTTGTAGGTGGAGAGCGTAGACTGAGATTGCTTTGGAGAAGCATGGAACAGGAACACAGCCTCAGGTAAGAACGTTTATCAGCATTTCGAGCCTTTAGCTCTTGCCATCATCAGGAATCCGCAACCGAAGCTGGATGTTGAGCTCATTCACAAATATATAAGGCATCAGTTAAAATTTCATTTGTGTGCATCTGTTATTTTATCTGATTTGATACATTCATATACTTCAAAAATGCATATTACCTAAAAACAACAACCAACCAACAATCAGAACTCAGAAGAAATTTCCAGTGATGTTGGCTGGTTCCGTTAAGTTAATTATTAATATTTTGGATTAGCACCTCAGCAATGACATTGTCATTGCTAGTAAAAACCCTCTAGTTTCAAAGATTTTTCATTACCAGTTACCACCCATCTACTCTGTGCATTCTGACTGAAAGAAATGTAGGCATCTGGCCAGATTCTTACATATTGATATATTTATATATAGGTATCTGGTATGATAAAATTTGGTTTATGTGTAGATAGGTTGTGGGCTTAAGGTTGTAGGTTGTAGGTAATAGGTTTTGAGTTGGGACAGCCAGGTTGAAAGTTTTAGGTTGGTAGGTAGCTAGGTAAGGTTAGATCAGGTTAGGTTATGTTCAAAATATTCACTGGACTTCATATTCACATTTACTAAAGATTTCTTATATTGAGGGGTGATCTGTTAATATTGGACATTTGACGAAATGTTAATGTGAAGGCAGATGCGATGGGTATGTAGATTTCATTACATCAATCATTGCTTTAGTGTGTGAAAAATCTTTATGAAGAAAATGCATTCTGGCATTTGCAAACACCATTTGAACTATGATGATGTATTGAACTGCTTCATTCTGAAGCCTGATCTGATTCAGATGGGAAGTACCTTGACCTAATCTAATCATTTCAGGGATTTGGAGCTGTGTGTAAATTTAAAGCGATCTACATTTCTAATTCAACATAACTAGGCACTTATTCATTGCAAAACACTACTTATAATTGCAGTGGTACCTGGGTGAGGGGTGTTTTAATTTATGAGGAAAATACTGAGCAATATACATTATGAAATCTTTTCAACTTCACAACAACTGCATAGTACATTATGGCGACATCTATTGAGTAGGTTGTGGTGTTTACAGAGCCACCTACTGGCAGACATCCAAAACGAAACAACCAAGACGCACCGTGTACTATGCGTTCAGACTCATAATCGAACTGATTGGTGAATTGGCCCCAGTCAGTCATACCACCATTCGTGACTCGTGTGACTGATTTGTGAACCTACCATAGACTCCTTACCTGCAAAGCATGACAATCTCGATGAGATGTCGGCGTGAATGCACTCAGCTAGACGCTGGTGTGTTGTACAGCACAACTGATCCGCTGTCGTGTGGTAAGATTTTTTTTTTTTGTGCCCAACCAACATGGTATCGTGAACTTCGGTGTGAGACTGAGCACATACCCTGCTGTGCTAGGAAAAGGAAATGATAGGGTGAACTATGAGACCCACAACAGGTTGAGCAGGGAATAAATCGCCGTGTGTTTTTCCTTCAAACTCCATATCTGTTCTCCCGTAAATTTCCGACAGGTTGAAAAAAGCTTGAGAAAATACAGTGACTTGGTTTTCTGAAGTTTGTCTGTCTCAGCAGATCAAGCAATGTCAGAACAAGCTCACATGCTTGATACTTGATCAGGATCGAATAATTGATTGGACTTTTTAAATTGGATTTTTCGTGCTTCCGGGCAATTCACGGGAAGAAGATCAGGGTTTGGAAAAAACGCGTCGAAATGACCGGCTATGGTGTTTTCCCCTAAAAAAGTGTGATAGGCTGGTAAATATTTTATGACCTATTCAGTAATAGCTCTAGGTCTTGCTAGATGTAGGTGTGTTTTTCCAGCTCTGTTAGCTCTGTTCCGTCGGGCTGGTGCGGACTCATCACCTTAGTTGGTGCAGCTCGCCGACATATGTTGTCTCGTCTGGATATGGATTTGCGATCTGGCCAGCGATATAACGGTGACAAAATGTGCTCATCTCATCCGTTCGACCAACTCTTCTAGTTCAGTGTTACCCAGCCCAAAAAAGATCGGCGATATGGACGTTTCGGTACCTTATTGCATTTTATTTTCCCTTCAGTTGCCGTTACTACACACAGTAATGAGTAAATTCATCGCACACATTGAACCCAAGATCACAGTTGCGGTTGGATTCTGGGATATGCACTAGGACATTAATGTCGAGGATGACATCGGGAGTTGTACTGGCCACTGGCCATATCGGTCAACATTTTATATTAGTGATAACTTTTCTTAGTTCTCATAATCGATGCAATTCTGATTCTTATACTGATGCAATGTTGATACAATAACTGATTCAGAAATGGTCGTATAGTCGATTAATTCGATTGATTCGAGAGTAACCTATTAAACACAGCACTATGCATTTACATTTTATAAAACGTGAATAGGTATGCAGTATGCGCAGCTGTATCTTCGGGGAGCAGACGTCGGTGTCCGAGGTCATCCGGCAGTAGGGATCTTGATGGATTCGTAGGTTCACGATGATGACAGGAGTGCTTGGAAATTGGAAGGCTCGCGATCTTCTTTCAGGAATGGATGAGGAATATGCCTGGAATAGAGTAAGGAGAATCAGCATCGGGAAGGTGGTGGTTGGCAAATGACCAGTGGCCGTTGAAGTTGTTCCTATTAAACGATTGTCTTAAAAAGGATTGCTATTTCTACATATGTATCACTGAAGTGCTTTCTTCAAAGATACATCAGTACTGAATGTTAGTAAGGCCATTTCCCACCTTTCCTATGAAAATTAGAACTTAAAAAAATCAGTAGACCATTTTTCAAAAAAATAGTTACATCCTCTGGCGGCTTTTTTTCTACATCCTCCCCAAACGCAAAATGGATTTGGCCACACTGGCAATGCATATCCATGTGCCAGAGTTGGGGTGCTGCTGCACGTGCGCACGTGCAGGGGTCGATTCCAGATCTCGAGAACGGCTGGACCGATGGCGCTCAAATTTGGTACATGGCTAAGGACCGGTTAGTAGGGTGCCGTGCAAAAGTCAGTTGGGACCCATTTTGCACGTGCGCACGTGCAGGGTGCCGCTTCCAGATCTCGAGAACGGCTGGACCGATTGTGTTCAAATTTGGCACATCGCTAGAGACCGGTTAGTAGGGTGCCGTGCACAAGTTAGCTGGAGGTACCCCCTCGAAATTTCGCACGTGCAAGGCTCACCCTCTCGCTCGCTCCGTTAATCGCCCCAAAAGGCGTTATACTGGTTTATGCTCTTTGAAAGTAGATCACAAATGTCAGTTGCTCTTTCGCTGAATTTTTGTTACTCGACTTTGATAGGACTCATACAGACACCTTATTTCCGACATACCACACCCTGGCTGTGTTCTGAGCACTTCAGGCGCCGACATGGTCCACCCGTACCCTCATCCGCTCATCTGGCTTAGTCCCTCTACACGCCTGCAACCGCTCTGTTAGGTCGGTGGTTGAACGCAGTGCACCGCTCGTTCCAGCCGGGCGCTCCGGGCATACTTGAGTTTCGCACCACGTCCCCGGAGCCCGGAGCGGCGGCCGTTCGCGGCGGGAGCGTTCGATAGTGGGATGTTCCGATGCTGGTATGGTGGGCTGTTCTGGGATCGTGCTCGTTGAGGTGACGAGGGGGTGGTTAAGGCGTCGCATCAGCCAAGTGGAGGCGACTGGAGCTGCCTAGGATAACGTTTATACAATGAACGGAGGGGACACATTAGATCGGGTATGGAGACGGTGTGGGTCCAAATTGTTGACTGGCTGCAATACTGGTTGCTTCAAAACACCTTTAGCGCCCGCTGTCACCGGCCATTAGGGTAGTGCGAAAACAACAGCAACCAAAGACAGCGTGAAATGGAACACTAAATGCGCCGTCGATTTGATAGTAGTTGTGAGTGTGCTTTGCTTTTAAAATGATTGATTTCTTATTAGTTTGTGAGTTTATAATGTTTCCAGCGTTCAGCTACCAACCTTATGCTTTTGAGATTTATAAATTGCGCAACAACGGACCAACCTGAACAGAAGCGCTATTGTTAGAGAACCGTGTGCAATGCTGAGCGCACACATTATCTCCCTTATGTTTCGCTAACTTTGTCAGTATTTCGCCGAAGAATGCATCAACAAACAGCAACTTTGTCCCGACGGCGCTTATTCTCCTGCCACCAACTTTGTTATTACAACTACCCACTGTTTACCAACCTCTCGTTCTCGTTATTACAACAACCGACTGTTAACAAAACCCACAGTCTCTCCTGCTCTCCGCCTCTGTCCTAACTAAGGAAGTAACCCTCCCTTTACCCTGTGGCGCAGATCCGCGTACCTACTCACGAGGATGGCACGTGTCTGTTCTGGGAGTTCGCCACGGACAGCTACGACATCGGCTTCGGCGTGTTCTTCGAGTGGGGTCCCTCAGAGGACAGCGAGGTGACCATCCACATCAGCGAGAGCGAGGATGAGGACGAGGACCCCGAGAATGGTGAGGACTGGAGAGGATCGGCTGAGGACCGACGGGTGAGGACTAGGGGCGGCCAGTTGAGGACAGTAGAGAGGACCGGGATAGGGGAATGACGGGATGGAGACTGGGATAGAGGAGGGGGTGGGAATGGGGTAATAATGGAGGGCTATAGAGAAGGCCGAATCGTGATTCCTGTTATTTTTCGTGACTGATATGAGCAGTGATAATGGGAATGTTGAAATTATTTTCTGACCTCGTGTGTCCCTTCTGACTCCATGTGCTGCTTTTGACCCCGTGTGCCCCCTCTGACCCGTCTGACCCTACTCCACAGCCGATGATCCGGAGCGGGGCGCTCACGCGGCCGCCGAGGACCGTCCGCTAACCACCTGTGTGATTCCCGTGTACCGGAGGGACTGCCATCAGGAGGTGTACGCCGGATCGCATGTCTACCCTGGCCAGGTGAGCACATCGAGGGCCTGTGGGGCAGCATAGCATAGATGGCGATGTCACTCGGTGGTCGAGGGGCGGCGGCGGCCTGTCGAGCTCTTAGAATTTGTCGGTCTCACATAAATAAAAAAAAAAAACGAAAAGTTTTTGAAGGATATTTGAGATTGTTTATTTGTATAATTTTGTCATGTATCATTGTGAGCCTCACTTCTAAGTTCGACCAATTATATGCCTATCCAATCCGTGAGTCTAAATGGCCCCCAGCCTATTTCTTCTGTTTCTGTGTACCGTGTAGCTATGCCGGGCGCTATCTGACGCGGCTGCTCCCACCTGTCTCCAGGGCGTGTACCAGCTCAAATTCGACAACTCCTACAGTCTATGGCGCTCCAAGACGCTCTACTATCGTGTCTATTACACGCGGTGAAAGACCCACGAGCGCTCACCCGGCTGTGTAGCGCCGCGGCGCCGGTCAGTGTGGGGTCTGAGACCAGACCATGGACCAGTCGCGGCAGATCAGACCATGGTCTGTGGTGTGGATGATCCAGCCCGGAGTGGTGGTGGGTGATCCACCGAGTTACCAGCGCTCTGAGGCAGCGGACCGCTGAGGCTACTGCTGTAAGGGCTGGCAGGTGGATATTGGTGGAGCGATGGGAACAAGAGGCTAGGTACTGTCAGAGCTGAGGTAGATTCTATGCTGTAGTGGTTTTAGCCGTGTCAGCGAGGACGAGAGACGTCTGTGAACGCTGGACTGTGGACTGTGGACGGCAGACTGGCGGCTGCCTGTGGACAGCTGGGAGCGAAGTGGATATTCCACACCGTTTTGTTGTACTGAGAGGTGGACGTCACTGTGCAATGTAATTATATGGGCAGGTGATGCTACGTTACACGGAATCCTGTATACTCACTAGTCACTGGGCCCACGGGGCGGTGGACTGTTGGATCGTATAGTATTGCCACCAACTGTCCCAGTGCCCTCTGCTGCTGCGGCCTTCTTTCCATGGCCCTCTCAGCTCCGCCAACGGCCATCCTAGTACCGTCTCCAGGCCCGTGCAGCTCTGCCCGTAGTCCTCCAGTACCGCTCTCCACCCTCCCATCTGTACTCTCTGGCGCTCGCAGCCCCGCCGGCCGTCCCAGTACCGCCATCTGCCCCTTTTAGCTCTCTGCAGTGATGCCAAGCCGACCTGATCGGCCGGTAGTGAGCCTTTCAGAACTATCACGGATGTCTCCCAGCTGACTACTCCGGCAGGGGAAGTCATCAGGTGACTGCACGGCGCCTCACAGACTGACCGCTCCACCTGATTGGACTAGAAAGAACGGAGATTGCGCCGCCGCTGCCGCCCGCCGCTGGTGGACGTTTAGCGGAAATGTGCAGTAGATACTGTATGCGGCACATACTGTATGGAGTCGTCCAGGAGGCTCATTGAGCCAATATACGACTCATTCTGTCCGGCCCATGGTCGGATCAGATCCCCGTGTCTCCTCTGCCCCGGGCATTTCATGTGTTGTTCTGTTGTTTTGTAGATGCTTATGTTGCGCCGCGTCGCGATTCGTGTCATGAATGGCGTGACTGTTTGGTGTTTGGGTGTCCCCCGATGTGTGGGGCAGGGCTAGTGTGAAACATGCTACAGGCACGCCGGGTTTGGCTAGGGAGAGGTCTTACTGTATCTTATGATTGATTGTGGGCAAGGCGTGGTGATTTTGAGAGCCGATCCGTCGCCGCCAGCGCCACCACTCATGTACTTGTGTTTCTCGGACTGTTCGTCCGAGGGCAGCACTGGTCCGGTGTTTGGCGTTAGTGGACGGGCCGTGGTGTCGCTTCTCTAGGCGTTCGTTGTCGCAATGGCTGTCCCGTTGACTGCCGTTTGCGTCGCAGCACCGTAGAGTGCTCAGAGGCTCTGGGCATTTGAGTCGTATGGATGAACGGGCTTTAAAGTGTATAACCAATTACATGTGTGAGTGTGTCCGTGGAATACAGCTATGTTGTATCTTACAGATGTGATGTTTTCTGTTCTGAATATTTATCAATATCATTTTATTGATATTTTTGTGTTTACTTTCGGAGGGAATACGGAGCCTTTTGGTCCCTTGCGTCATGAGTAGGTTCAAGGCATCGATACCACTAACGAATCTTCAAAAGCTTCTCTGGAGGCTTCCACGTATGTACCATGCAGCGATGAAAAAGGTAGCCCGAAAGTCGATGTGTGGGAACGCTTACATTGGCCTACAATTGAGGCTAGAATTTTGATGGGCTAAAGCAAGGCTAAAGGGCCTGAGACATTTATTTTTGTCGTGCCTATACAATATAAGTACATACAGTGAGGTATGCCATTTGAACGTTCGATGTTCCCGTTACCGATAATGTGTTTGAGGCGCGGCCAGGCTGCAGCAGACGGTTTAGATGGTGCTACGGGTAGGGTTACGGACAAAAGTACGTATCGCTAAAGTACGTAGGACAAAAGTACGTAAGCAAAAGAACGTAGGATTAAAGTACGTATCGCAGAAGTACGTACAGTATAAAGTACGTACGGACAAAAGTACGTCAGGGACAAAAGTACGTATCGCAGAAGTACGTACAATATAAAGTACGTATGGACAAAAGTACATCAAGGACAAAAGTACGTATCGGAGAAGTACGTACAGTATAAAGTACGTATGGACAAAAGTACGTCAGGGACAAAAGCTCGTATCGCAGAAATACGTACTGTATAAAGTACGTATGGACAAAAGTACGTCTGGGACAAAAGTACGTATCGCAGAAGTACGTAGGGTATAAAGTACGTATGGACAAAAGTACGTCACGGACAAAAGTACGTATAGCTAATGTACGTAGGGTAAAAAGTACGTATGGACAAAAGTACGTCACGGACAAAAGTACGTATCGCAGAAGTACGTAGGGTATAAAGTACGTATGGACAAAAGTACGTCACGTACAAAAGCCTACGCATAGCAAATGTACGTAGGGTATAAAGTAGCCTTGGGCAAGACGCCCCATATAATTTATTTTGCTACATAGGTACCTTCTTTTGTCTCACATCACCTTGACCTGGAAGGCCAAATTTGTGCTCAATGTGTTCTTTGGACATTTTATTTTAAATTCCATCCCTCAAATTCATTCACTTGTGATCGGACTCCCAGCTAGGAAGTGATTTGTGAAGCAACTGCAAATGGGGCATTTTGCCCCAACCCCAGGGCAAAACGCCCCACGGCCTGAGGCAAGAAGCCCCATACACTAGATTAAAGATTGAACATGGTAGTTGGCTAAATCTTATATGAGAGGTCCGTTAGACCGCTGGAGGCACGGCACTGAAGGTAACACCTTCCGTGTTTTATTCCGTGTTTTTCTACTTGTCTGTATCAATATACATTTGTCTAACACCTTCCATCCTATCAAGTGTTCAGCTATGACACTATTGTATGACCAGGTTTTTCACCTGCCTCATAAGGCCAAATAATAAATTATTGCAATGCAAATCAGTTAACAATATACTTCCTTTGCCATACAATTGCTGAGAAAAATACATATAAATGCATAGAAACTTGTTGTTCGCCAGCTACCGAACATTAGGAAGTGGGTAGTCCGAACAACACATGAGGTAAAACGCCTCATGGGGCTTTTTGCCCCGCGACCTACTCGGGCGTTTTACCCCATCACGTAGTTCGGTCAGCGAACAACGCCTTGCGCTCCAGCAAGACATAATTTAACACGAACCAACCCGGCATCATAAGCGTTAGACAACAGTTGTTCAAAATACATAAAAGTTGTTAACCTGATGTGAACCACAAAAGAACGCGATGATGTATAATCAGACAACCAAACATAAAAATCACTCAACAAACACATTTTTGGCTATATCTCCTTAGAGAATTATCACAATTTCTTTCCAGTCTGCCCATATAATGATCATATAGTGCACATTTAACCCTCGCCGGACCTATTGGTTTTCTACATACGCGCCGGCCGAGGGGGGGGGGGCGGGTACGACCCCCCCCTCGCCGTTTCGCCCCTGGTGGAGCTAGCGCGTCGCGGAAAAAACGAGCGTGTGCGCCGTTACGAGACGCAGAGATTGGTACCCGATTTTAAGGTCCTAGGTCAACCGGTGACCTCTGAGGTCAGGTCAAGTGCCCCAAGGTACGGTTCAGTTTTTGGTGAATAACTTCGCAAAAAACGGCCGCAGAGCGCCGATTTTGGCAGCATCGTGTTCGTCTCGCTCAGGCGCGTCGAATGATATACTTTTTGTCCGGGTCAGGTCAACTTGGGGTGTTGACCTCAGGTCAAGGTCAGGTCAGCACCCCCAGGTCACGAAGTTGGTCGAAAGAGGTCATGTTGCATATCATTCGATTCGGCAGGTCTTCCCGAGTCCATTGGTGGCTTTCCCGACTCGCTAGCTCAATTTGATCAAGAGTTATTGACGAAAAACTAATATGACCTTGATGACGTCATAAATGACGTCACGCAAGGTCAACATTGCAAAAGTGACGCATCTAACCTTGCAAGGAGTGCATCAAATCACGATTCTGTGTGCTTGAGATAGTTGGAGATCGTTCCCGGCGCCAGAATAGCAGTTTGAATTTTTCCCCATTGACTCATAATGGTGAGGTCACGAAAATGACCTGACCTCATATGACCTTTAGGAAAAATCCGAGATATACAAGTTGTGGGAATCATAATGGATACTAGATCCTGCAAGTTTCATTTCCCTGTGACATCTCCTCTGGCAGTGAGGGCGTTGCGAAGTTGCGACATCTGAAGACCGTGCAGAGGTTCACTTATGACGTCATAGGTCAGTGACCTGACCTGACCCAAAAATGCGGTTGGTGTCAAAAGATCCGGCTTGGATCAAAGGTCAGGTATGCCAAGTTTCAGCTCTCTATCGCCAGCGTGTTCGGAGCTATCGCGAAAAAACCCTATGGGGGGGGGGGCGGCACCCGCCCCCCCCCCTCGGCCGGCGAGGGTTAACAGAAGAGAGGATCTTTCCCCAGAACCCTGCCAGTTCCGAGAAACATCGGTGAGGCGTTTTACCTCGGCGGGGCGACTTGCCCCGGTCTACCCTACGTGTGGACAAAAGTACGTCACGGACAAAAGTACGCATAGCAAATGCACGTAGCCCGTAGGGTATTAAGTACGTACCCCACCCTTGGGTTAAGTTGATCAATGTGTAATACCTTTCTTATTCTTTATTTAATGAGCATTTGTTACAAGGCATAGCAAAATTTCTCGATGAGTAAATGGGCGAAATGGACATAGCTATATTACCTATTTGGTATATGAATTTATCATGAGTTCCCTGTTGGTATGGCAACAGAGTAGCAATAAAGAAAAAGTGGCTCAACTTACACTACCATACCCTACTTCTAGCATACGTACTTTATACACTACGTACTTTGGCATACGAGCCGTACGTACTTTTGGCATACGTACTTTTTACACTACGTACTTTTGCATACGAACTTTTGCATACGAACATTTGCGTACGTACTTTTAGCATACGTACTTTATACACTACGTACTTTTGCATACGTACTTTTGCGTACGAACATTTGCGTACGTACTTTTGGCATACGTACTTTATACACTACGTACTTTTGCATACGAACTTTTGCGTACGAACATTTGCGTACGTACTTTTGGCATGCGTACATTTTACACTACGTACTTTTGCATACGTACTTTTGCGTACGAACATTTGCGTACGTACTTTTGGCATACGTACTTTATGCACTACGTACTTTTTCATACGTTCTTTTGCGTACGAACATTTGCGTACGTACTTTTGACATACGTACTTTATGCACTACGTACTTTTGCATACGTACTTTTGCGTACGAACATTTGCGTACGTACTTTTGGCATACGAACTTTATCGCCTACGTATATTTGCGTACGAACATTTGCATACGTACTTTTGTCCTACGTACTTTAGCGATACGTACTTTAGTCCTAAAATCCTACGGGTAAGCGCCTGAAGGTATGCTGTGCTGCAGAACTTCCTCTCTCGTCGACAGATGGCAGCAGTAACAAACGCCTGAATGCATGCTGCGCCGCAGAGCTTCCAGTCTTGTCGCTAGATGGCATTAGTAGTAACGCCTGAGTATATGCTGTGCCGCAAACCTTCTAACCATGCCGCTAGGCGCTAGACTAGATGGCAGCAGTAACCAATGCCTGAATGTATGCTGTGCCGCAAAGCTTCTAATTGCGTCGCTAGATGACAGCAGTAATTAGCGCCTGAATGTATGCTGTGCCGCAAAGCTTCTAATCGCGTCGCTAGATGGCAGCAGTAATCAGCGCCTGAATGCATGCTGTGCCGCAAAGCTTCTAATCGCGTCGCTAGATGGCAGCAGTAATTAGCGCCTGAATGTATGCTGCACCGCAGAGCTCTTGTCTCTTGATGGCAATAGATTTGTTAGTAGAAACTAACGCCTGAAGATTGGTTGTGCTGCATAACATAGGTAGATACCGCTATGAATTGATTATCTCTCCGTTCCGTCGTGTCCATCCTCAGGATACTGAAATCCTTCTCCTCCACGCCGTAACCCCACTCCGGGCTGGACAGGCAACTTTATCTCATGCGGGCTGCTCCCTTGGAGCGGCATCGCTGCTCCCGAGGGAGTGCTTGGGGGGGGGGGGCTGGGTGGCCTGTACTCTGGACGGGCTCAGCCCCGGCGACTCTCTAGGGTTTCTGCCCAGTCTGCCCAGACTAATGTCTCCCCCTAATTCCTGTCATTCTTCCGGCTCTGAAATAGTCTTGTCAGACCGAAAGGGCCTAACCCAACAAAACAAAAATTGATTACCGCTATTGAAAATGTCCATTTCATAAGCTGCTGCGCCTAGGCATTGGCATAAGTGACACACATTGCCTACTTATAAATGACTATACGATGCCCATTTTCATAAGCTGCCGTAACTCAGAATTAGCAGATAGTGGCTTACCGATAAATGTTTTTAGGCTTTTCAGTCCCTCATAGTTACTCGAATGTTTATGTTCCCAGGAATTGTTCCCTTAGCTCGGATACGCATTTTCCAACGCCGGGATAAATCACC